CTGGGGCAGCAGTTGAGGCTGGCAGGCTTGTCGGAGGCATATGTCCCCTGATGGTAGTTCTGCCTTCAGTTACTCACCCTCCGAGACTTGTCTCAATTGGGTTGTACTTCTTGCCTCTGTCAAAAAAAAAAGGGGGTGGGGGTGGGGGTGGGGTTCTGAGTATGAGGATAAAACCTGAATGGTGATAAAAGCTAAAATGCTGGGATCTTACTGGAAATGGCTGATGGTACAGGAGTGTGAGTGGAAGGGGTGGAGGGTGCAGACAGGTGTGCTGTCCTGATTGGACACATGTGAGGACCAGGGACAGGGCTCTTGCTTTATACCTGTGAGTTAAGCGGGTCATGAGAACGGCTCTTTGAAATGTCTCTAGGAATTAGCTGAGTAGGCTTTGATTCTCTTCAGCTGCTTGCACTTCTGTCAGGCCGAGTTATATTCATGAAGGACATCTTGCAGAAGTGGGAAAAGTCACATGGGGATTGGGTGCTCCCAGTGTGCTACATTTCTTTTCTCATAAGATCTACTCATTTTTACCTTTTCCATTTGAAACTAACAGAGGCAGGGCTTCATTCCCTTATTGCAAAGGGCCTTTGTTTCCAGAGCTAAAGCCCGAGGTTGATGCCATGTGTCTCCCCCAGTCACTTCACTTTATTTTTAGATAGTCTTTCTCACTGAACCCATGCTTACTGATTTGATGGTCAGTAAGCCCCAGGGGTCCTCCTTTCCTCAGCAACCTGCCTGTGGGCTGTGCCTGGCTAAGGTAAGTAGCTGAGCATGCAGGATGGGATCTGTAACTTCTTTCAGTCTAGACAGGACACGGAAAGACCAGGTGGCCCTGGTTCCTGCCACACTGTCATAGGTCTGATATCTAGAGATAGCTCATGACTGGAGGTTCTTGCAATGGAAAAGCATTCCAGCACTACTGAAAGTGGCAGATACTGTCAAGCACCACTGTGTGCCTTCCAGGGGTGGGTGAAAGTTGCCGTGATTCCTGTTCTGCTGACATGTTAGGGTGTTGGGATATTTTGCTAGGGTAGCCAGGTGCCTAGGGCTGTTGAAGCCAGGATTGTGTTTTACTAATGACACTTCTGTGTCTTGAGTCTGTGGAGGCATTGACCCCACACCACTGGTGGGATTCCAGCCCAAACTTGGTGCCTGTGACATGGTTAGTTTTTTTTTTTTATCAGCTACCACAAACCTATTCACACTTGGTAAGAATGAATCTCAATTGAGTTGCCATCATCCGCTTGGCTAGTAGGCATGTCTGTTGATATAGAAGGGCCTAGCCCATTGTGGAAGGTACTATCCTAAGGGCACGTGGGCCTGGGCTGTATAAGAGATGTGGCTGAGCAGTCCATGGCCAGCAGCCAGAGTGGAGCTTTCCTTTTTGGTTGCTGTTTCAAGCTCCCATCTTGAGTTTCTGCCTTGGCTTCCCTTGATGATGGACTATAACCTGCAAGATGAAATAAACCCTTTCCTCTCCACGTTGTTTTTAATCATGTGTTTCTCACGGCAACAAGAAGCAAACTAGGATGTTTGCTTGTCCCTCACTGGCAGACAGTTCTGTTGGTGGTGGGCTTGTTGGCAGTCTAGATGTTGCTGCAGCATTGCTGGAGATGAACCCCTGGGACAGTGGAGACACACGTGTTGTTCCTGCAGGAGGGGGGTGCTGTCCTTGCAGTGGAGATGGTGTGGTGTCCTTTGCTCTTTTGTCATTCGGTTGGGGGAACCTCCTCACCCCACTTCTGGCTGACTAGCCCTGCTGCCTGCAGCTGCAGGAGCTGCTGCTCTTCTGGCAATCTCAGGGATTCCTGGAAATCACGTCTTCCTGTGCTCAGGGCAGGCTCATTACCTGCCTCTTTGGCTTTGGGAGTGTGGCCATGTCTGGCTCCCAGTGGGCTTGTCATTCGATAAATGAGTTTTCCTCACTTTGGGGGTGGGGAGTACTTTAGGTCCTCAGGGAATGTTTCCAGGATCTGTGGCCTGGCTCTTTTGGCATCTCTGTGCCAGTGAGATTGTCTGCTCCTGCCTGGCACTGGGTCATCTATGGCTGATTGCACCAGCTTCTGAGGCTGGAAGAATATGCATGGAAGAATGAAGCCAGAGTACATCCCCAACCCCCAAAAACCATCCTTCTAAGTTGTCTTCCTAGAGCCTCTTTTGGTTTCCTCCATACCTACTTTATTTTGAACAAACTCTTTGAGGACACTTAGTCTAAGAATACTTCGTCTTTGCTGAATTTATGTTTTTAACATTTACTAAAAATAAAAGGAGGCAAAGGGGCTTAACACAGATTTAGTTAATATTCTTGATAGATGGATAACTGTGTAATTATTGGTGTGAAATATTGTTATGAATAAATCCTTTAAGGATCACTGATAGGAAATTAGTGAGTGGTTACAAATGTCTGATTATAGGCTCATTAGAAAACCAGCTGCCTTGATGCTGTGCCCTTGTTAAGTCCTGAGGCAGGGGCACTTCCAGGAGCTTCTTTCTGAGCTCAGAGTGGGCTCCATCCTGCATATGAGAAGTGGCAAGTGCCTGTGACGCAGTCAGCGTGAAGGGTTTGAGGAGGAAGCTTTCCCGCTGAGTGTGGGTAGTGCCTTGTAAGTAACAGGATTTGAAGTTTCAAGGTGTGCATGTGTAAATAAAGTGATACAAGTTACAAGTGGAGACCTGATGTCAGTCTGCATCCCTGCAAATCACAAGCTTGCACTGGTGTAAGGCTTGCACTGACCCTCCTACTGGCTGTAACCAACCACTCTCCCCGCCCCCGCCCGGTTTCCTAGGTCCTGTGGCAGTTCTTCCTGTAGGAGGTGCAGCCCTAAGCCAGCACTGGGGCCCACGCTGGGCTGGGGGCTCCTTGGGCTGGGGGCTCCATGGTGTCCAGGCTTGACGCTGTCGGAGCAGATCAGTCTGCAGACCTGCTTCCTGCCTGGGAGACTAGGCATTTTGATTCACACTCGGTGTCTGTGGCTCGCTTCCTGCTGTATGAGTATATCCTTGAAATATATTCATTTTTCTTTAAGTAGATTCATTACCTGAAATATTCATTGAAGCAGGCTAAACAGTACTGCTCAAGGAACAAATGTACCGAGTCCAGTTTGTCCTCATAAATGTATTAATGCTGACGGGATGTAGTTGTTGCGGGGGAAGCTTGGGTGATGTGGAGCTGCTAGGGGAGGAAGCTGGCCAGGGCAGGCTTCTCTAGGCGGGCCCTGTCCACATGCCTATCTTCTCTCATCTTCCCCCCCCCCCCCATGAGTATGCCTGTTCCCTCTCTTTAATGAATGTGGAGATGTCTGGTTCTTGAGAGCCCTCTTGTGCTTTCAGCGTCTTGTCTAATTCCAGCCGCTAGTGATGGTTTGGAGGTGTGATGAGGGTGTGCTGGGAAAGCTGTCACATGAGTGATGTCTGATCTCTGAGGAGAGAGGCAGGGGGTGGAACACAGGCAGGGACAGGATGTGAGGCTAAGGGATGAGAGCAGCTTAGCAGCCCCTGAGCTGGGTGCTTGTCCCCAGTCACCCTAGTGGCTACCACAAGGGCACGTTGTGCCTTTCTGTGTCACCCACGAGGCTCTTGTACAAAGTGTTGTTCCATCAGATTACAAACCTGTGTCAACAGCCTGGCATGAATGTAGCCAGCTGTTATAGGGCAGGAAACAGTCATAGACAGTGAGTCCCATGTGAAATGGGGTGCAGGAAGGGCCTGGAGGATCATGGGAGATGGTGTGAAAGCTGCGAGGAAGGCTGGGAGAGGGAGTTAACACAGGGGGAGAGCCAGTGGAGGTTTATGAGGAGGACACGGGTCATGAAGGGCTGCTGATGGGGTGGGATAAGGGTTCAGTTCTGTCAGTTGTGAGGGCAGGTGGGGAGGCAACCAAGAATCACCATTGCAGGCCTTGAAGGGGATCTGGACCCGAGGGCAGTAAACTGAGGTTTTGAAGCTCAGAAGAGAGATACAAATCTGTGTTTTTGGAAAATGACAGTGAGGTATAACAGGATATTTTGGAGGGGATGAGGTTAACTGTGAGGGAAACCACAGAGCAGGGCTAGAGGCTACATGAGGTTTGGGAGACAGATGTAATTTGGGATTAGTGTTGGGAAATAGTAAGAATTGTCCTAGCTGAGAAGCTACAGAAAGAAAAGGCCAAAGGGAGGAAATGGCCAGAAAGGGATGAAGGAAAACAGCACCTTGGAAGCAAAATGTCAAGAAATCTTAACAAAGCTTTTATAGGTAGGTGCAGGCTTTAAAATTGTACAAAGCCAACTTTAGAGAACAACAGGAACTGAAGTGATAAATGAAATTGGTTTGCTCACTGTTTTGGGGCAGGGTTCTGTTCTGCAACCGGCCTGACCTGGCACCCACTGTGTAGTTCAGGCTGGCCTGGAACTTTTAGTAATCCTTCTGCCTCAGCCCCTAGAGTGCTGGAACTCATAGGAGTGAGCTACCACTCCCGGTTACACTAAGCTCGGTCGTGTTCTAGAAGTTGAAGGAGACCAAGGACAGAAGTAAACATGAACTAAAAGTTTGGAGAGAAATAAGAAATATTAGAAAAAAAAGTGGAAAAGCAGAAGCCGCTGGACTGGGAACCAATGCTGTAGGGCTGGGCACGATGACCAAAGGCTCTGGAGGTCCAGGGAGTGTTGCAGAATCCTGAGCTGGGGAGAAGGTAAATGCAGTGAAGCTCACCTGTTTGAGAAGTTCTCAGGAAGTCCCCACCTCTGAGTTTTCTCTTGCTAGAGTGGCCACTATCAACACAAAGGGAGCCAGCTAGAAAGGAGCTGGGCCCATTCCTTGTCTTTCCTTCCGCAAGCCCACTATCCTTTCCCTAACAGTGTCCTTGCCAGCCTAGCCAGCTCTGCTTCTTATTGTCCTTCCCTACTTCCTTTGCCCTCAGTCGTCTTAGCTCCTCTTGGCTCTGCCCTGTCTGTCTCTGCCTCCGTGCTCAGGTGGCTGCTGATGGTTGGCTGACTGTTGGGCTTTTCCTGCTCCCACTCTAGGTCATCTTCCATGATGTTGCTGTGCTGACAGACAAGCTTTTTCCCATCGTGGAGGCCATGCAGAAGCACTTCAGTGCCGGCTCAGGGACCTACTACAGCGACTCCATCTTCTTCCTCTCAGTTGCCATGCACCAGATCATGCCCAAAGGTAACCTGGAGGGCCAGGAGCAATGGCCTTGGGGTGCCAGGCTCTTCTTGGGGTGTATGTACTTCTGGGCTCAGTATAGCTTGTGCCCTGTTTCTGAGGGAGGCGGTCTCAGGGGCCTCCATAGAGCCAGGTACTACTTTGTCTGCTTGCTTGATCTCCTCGTCCTGTGACTGACATGTGAACTGAGATAGTCATCTGCCAAGTGGCAGAGTTAGAATCTGAAGTCATGCCTGTCTGATTTAGAGTCCTGCCTCTCCAGATAGCTTTCTGTCCCTTCAGGTGACCCAGATGAAAGCTCTCTGGGAATACCTAGTACAGGTGTGGCTCCTGTTCCCTTAGAGTCCAAGGTCAGGTGCTGGCCTCTGCTCTGCTACCAGCTGTGCACATGGCTCTGGCTCAGGTACCTGTGTCTCTAGGTCTGTCTCTCACCTATGAAATGAAGGGCTGAACCAGTCAGTGAGCTGTTTCAGCCTGCCTGCTGCAGATGCAGGGCCTGAAGGGATGCTCCACTGTTGGAGTAGTCCTGGACAAGTTAGGACACGTTCTTTCTCCACCCCGCCTCTTGACTTCGACCCTACTGTACTTCTAGATGCTGTCTCCCACTGCTCTCCCCATCTGCCAGGTAGCCGTGCTTGGCCCATCTGCTATCTTGCATCTGTGACTGGCTGTGACACCAAAGGACAGCAGGTCAGGGAGAAGCATGCTGGCCTTGCTGAGTTTCCCTCCCTCCATTCACCAGCAGGTCGCTGGGCTCTATGTCAGTTTTTGTTTTGGGGTATCCAGTACAGGGCAAAATGCAGCTCCTCTGTTTTTCAGGGAAGGAAGATGCAGTTACTCCAGCTCCCCAGCTATTCAGGAAGTGGGGCCATGAATCCCAGAGGACCTGGGGAATCTAGGTGACCCTGGATGCTGCTAGGATCCTCTTTCCTAGCTTAGCAAATGGAGACAGGCCGTATGGGATTGGATCTGGTATTGCCATGAGGCCATGTCTGCTGAAGAAGGCTTTAGTAGGGCTTTGCTAGAAACCCAGTGTGGTGCATAGGCCATACAGGCACTCCATGGCTGGTCAAGGCCTTTAAGGACCTACAGGATGTGGAAAGAACTCTTTTAGCTCAATTACTCCGTGTTCTCTTGGGTTCTTTAGCAAACGTTAATGTGCTTCCAGAGATTTATGCTTGCGTGTGCCCAGGATCTCCTTGCTAAGAAGAGTCTAGGAGTTACTAAATCTCTGTAGTCATAAAGCGAGTAAGCAGGGCTATGCTTCCTAAATCTCTGGGCTGTGTTCTTCCAGGAAGTCTGGCCATGTTGCCACAGTCGGGTCCAGTTAAGCAGGTGGTTTGGAATCCCTGCAGTTTCCGGAGGGACACTTTGTTTTCAGACATCACAAGTGCCATCCTGAGTTGGTTCTTTATTGCTGTTCTTTGTGTTTATGTGTTCATCGTGACATTGCGTTTGTGCTTTGGTTGATGGCTTTGTTCCTGTTTAACTGCCATGCTCTTGCTATTTTGGTTAGGTTTAGTTTGTTTCCTGGGATTCTTTTTTCTTTTTTCCCTTCAGGAAAATGAGAATGGGGTGTATGGGGCCTGGGAGATGGGGTTAAGCCTGTGTTACCAGAGTCATGTATACAAACTTGGTGACCAGAGTTCCAGAGAGATGCCAGTTAAGTCTCTATGAACTGTCTTCCTTCCTTTCTGTTTGTAAAGGTCACCCATGTACCTAACAAACTTTTCAAATGTTCCTTTTTTTTTTTTTTCTTGTACTGGGGACCTCACCAGGTGTTCTACCACTTGAGTTACACCCTTCTCTTCCTTTTTGATTTTGAAAGACTCATGTATAAAATATCTGAGAACAGTAATAAAACAGAAAAAGTTACGCTTTCATACCACATGCTCTCAGCATCACTAATCCCTGCTATCTTCTGGTAGTCCCCCAACACATAGCATTTTAAAGATCTGGGCAAGGTAGGAGTTACACTGTGCATTCAGATCCATCTGACTCTTCTTATATGTCAAGCGATGAAACTGATTTCAACTCAGAAAACGAAAGCGATGGTATCAGCCAAGCTGTTAATGCCAGGCCTCCCTATGCTGTGTGCAATTAAAGTCTTTTGAGGTTTCCCGAGCGGTCCATTAACTAGATGAAGCTTCGCCCACTTTACTGTTTATTCCCCTGTCCTGGGCTGGCTCAGTGCTTCTTTTTGACTTTTTAATATTGTGAATTATACTATGGCACATGTCCACATGCAGAAAGATTATCTTCTCTTATGATTGTTCCCACATGATTTCTTCCAAAGGGTGGAATTACCAAGCCAAAGGTGATCCTTACAAAGCCAGGTGCATCAGCTCCCTGTGCCCTCAGCGCTGACTGCACAGTTAGGGTCTGTGCTGTTTTCTAGGCCCAGGGTATCTGAGTTCTCGTGGAGCTCAGGCATCTGTGTAGACTTCCAGTCAGCTGCTCTCCCACTTGATGGGAGGAAACCTGCCGAGTCTTGGTGAGCTAGGTCTCTCCTTTACTTCTATTCTAATGTCCAGACCTAAGTTCCACCTCATCTACCTGTCCAGTCCCTTCTGGATTCTGACCTCCACCTATCTCCCTGGTCTAATCCTGCAAAATGGCCTGGCTGGGATGGGGTGGGGAAAGCAACCCGTGTTCTGTGCACCAACTGTCCCCTTGAAGCAGTGTTAGGAAAACTACATCTGCAGTGCCCCAGGAGGAGCAAAAGGGCAGGCCAGGTGTGCATGCTGGCTTCCATTCTTCTCAGCCCTTGTTTCTCTTTTGCTTGCTCCAGTGGTCACACGTAGCTAGCTAGCCCATCCTGATGTTCACACTCGCTGTCCCTCCACATACCTGTGACCACTCTCTGCTCCTCACTCATCCTCAGGGCTTTTCTCTCTTTCTGTCCATGTGTTAGTTTTGTCACCATTGAAAGCATCTAATGCAATAACAACTGAAATGTGTGCCTGACTGGAGCTGCAGGGAGCTCAGCTCAGCTCCTTTGGGCTCTCCAGTGTCTTTGTCCCATGTGGCTCTGAGGAGCCGTCAGCTCTGGGTGAATGACATGCCAGTGAAAGCAGCTCTTGCAGGCTGATCTTGGCTGCATGACTTGTAGTGTGGCAAGGTTTCCTTGGGTGGGGCAGGCAGATATTAGACAGCCTTCATGTGGTCAGAGGCCCCAGGAACCTTTCCTGGTCCAACACATACCCCTGGAAGGCACTCCTGCCCTGGGTCTGTAGGTGTCGTTAGCCTTTGCTAATGGTCTGCTGTTTTCTAAGTCAAACAGCACTCCACCGCCTTAGGGAGGCCTGCCAGACCTGCCTGAGTGGGGCAAATGGTGTGTTCTAGCAACTATGGCAGATGGTGTGAAGGTCTGCCAGTTCTAAGGGTTTCAAAAGATGATGAGTGAGGCATTTTGTGGAAAAGTTTCATGGAGGAGGTGATACTTGAGGATGGTAAAGTTTTACCATCATGGTAGTGATAGTGAGTGGGTTAGGCAGACATGGCAGTCAGGAAGGCTGGAGGTTGTTTTGGAAATGAGCATACTGTTTATGTTTGAAGAAAGCATCAGGACACTTGCTGGACAGTAGTGAAAGGGGGGAGGAAAACTGTTGAGGGTGGGAGAGGATTGGCCGCCTGTTAGGGGGCTTGGCCCTGGATATAGGAGACAGACAGCCTTTAGGGCCTTCTTGATAAGGAAGGATCTGACTGGCTTTGTGCATTCGGAAAGCTGACATTCTTCGAGGGACAGATGCTGGGATCTAGCTGCATTCCTTTCTGTGTCTGTGGCGGGGCACTGTGGGGAGCGGTGCGACCCATGGGCTGCCTGGTGTCAGCAGCAGACCACCTAGCAGGGGTGTGCAATGGCTGCTAGAGGGTGTTTGCACATGGGTACATGGCTTCTTTCTGAGTACCTGTGCAGCCATGGATAACGACAAAAGCACCCGTGAGACCTGACTGCTCTTGATACATGCTCTTTATTGCCACAGCTCTCAGGCCTGGAGGGCTTTTGCACTGCCTGCCTTGGAAACATTTATTTTTTCTATAAATTGTTATTACAATTTATTCACTTTGTATCCCAGCTGTAGCCCCTACCCTCGTTCCCTCCCAGTCCCGCCCTCCCTCCTCATCTCCTCCCATGCCCCTTCCCCAGTCCACTGATAGGGGAGGACCTCCTCCCCTTCCATCTGACCCTAGCCTATCAGGTCTCATCAGGACTGTCTTTCATAGTCTTCCTCTGTGACCTGGTAAGGCTGGCCCCCATCCTCAGGGGGAGGTGATCAAAGAGCCATACAGCAGCTTTATTCATAATAGCCAGAATCTGGAAACAACCCAGTTATCCCTCAATTGAGGAATGGATATGGAAATTGTGGTACATTTACACAGTAGAATACTACTCAGCAATTAAAAACAAGGAAATCATGAAATTTGCAGGTGAATGGTGGGAACTAGAAAAGATCATCCTGAGTGAGGTATCCCAGAAGCATGAAGATACACATGGTATATCCTCACTTATAGGTGGATTTGGACATATAATATAGGATAATCATACTAAAATCTGTGCACCTAAAGAAACTAAGCAAGGAGGACGACCCTGGGTAAGATGCTCAATCTTCATTCAGAAAGGCAAACGGGATGGACATCAGAAGAGGGTGAAAACAAGGAACAAGACAGGAGCCTACCACAGAGGGCCTCTGAAAGACTCTACCCAGCATGGTTTAAATTGGATGCTGAGACTCATAGCCAAACTTTGGGCAGAGTGCAAGGAATCTTATGAAAGAAGGAGGAGATAGAAAGACCTGGAAGGGTCTGGAGCCCCACAAGGAGAGCAACAGAACCAAAAAATCTGGGCCCAGGAGTCTTTTCTGAGACTCAAAACATTAACTTTTTTTTCCAGACAAGATCTTACTATCTGTCTTAAATTCACAGAGATCTGTTTGCCTCTGCTTCCCAAGTGCTGGGATTAAAGGCGTGTGCCAACACTTCTGGCCTTACTTGTAGTTTTT